GGACTCTTCGTTTTATATGGGTGATTGCTTATTCTACTGGTAGATAGAAAGCTACCGGAAAAAAAGGCGAAACGAAAGATCTGCATTGCGTTACATAAAAATGAATAATCATAGTAAAGAAATAAAAGTTAAAAAAAATAAATAAAAACGTAACATATTCATGGGTATTTCAAATATATATATATACGAACTTATGAGATATTTTAAATATATATGTATATGTGCACTATATGTATATTAACTCACTACCATATTTAAAAATTTCAAACTACGTTTATATATATATATATATATATGTATATATGATGCAGTGGTTTGAGCTCCATTGTAGCTGAGAACGCCTTTGCATGGCTATTCCTGAATTTGAGGAAAAATTGACTCGACCATAGTTCAGCGACCTTCATAAAAAAGATGAAAAAGCCAGCTGCCGAACCTACGCAAAAAATCCGAACACTTCCATGGGTGAGTATTTTTTCATCGATAAGCCAACACCACATTGTTATTCAACTTTATTCGGCTAACGTTTCGATGCCTTCGCCTTCTTAAGAACTAGGTTCATCTGAGTCGATTGTTCTTCATTCTTTCAGCCATTCATTCTTCCGATTGGAGTCTTTGTTATCGCATTGACTCGGCGTTAGCCGAATCAAGTCCGACTCCAGCCACGCGCTAGCTTATTAGTGAAAAAGTGGACGATGACTTCTCACTCCGAGGTCAAATCAATAGCGGTTTATTATTTTCATAGACGAATACGGAGAGAAGAATCGAATGCAGGAAGTGTAGCACTTCGGAGAATACGTGGGGTCCGCTCGCACAAAAGTAGTATATATGTGCGTACATATGTGTACAACTAAATACATAGCTTCTGAGAATTCAATGGTTTTCTCATTCTTAGCCTATTTCTTTCTTGTTACATCCTTCACCATGGATTGTTTGACTACTTTCAAGAATCAATACTTTTGTAGTCCTCTCACACGCAAACCACCCTTCGATTATTATGGGCAGAGTAAATTCATGCGGTGAAGACCTGTGTTTGCTGACTTTATCGGTGTACCCTATACCCTCCACAATCGTAGGATGGGAGAGAGTGTAGACCTCCCCCCACCCTCTCCGGCTCTCCCTTTGTGCCCATGAATTGTACCACATACAGATAATCGCTTTCATAAGTAGCTTTTAAGATTAAGTGCTGAAAGGTTTAAATTTTAACATCCCAGGTACCAACTGGAACTTAAGTAATCGAACTTCGCAGTACCGTTTATGCCTCAAAAAGCTTCTACATAATTACTTGCTTCTAATTACATTTGCTAAACACATGGAAAGATTTTTTGGAGCATATCCGACTAAGCATTTAACCAGCGTATGCTCAGCCTGTAATTAGTGTTGAAAAAAATTTTGAATAGAAGTAAAAACTAACTGTTTCGTTCAGAGGCAAGGTTTCCAGTGTCCGTATAGAATTTTCTGGTAGAACAAGAATGCCTTAAAAGGTATTTCTCAGTAATATACAATAACATAACTACATCTATATACTGATCCTCTTTAAATTTCACTTCACTACAGGTAGCAGTCGCTGGTTCTGTTCAACCAAATATAGTCAAAATCACATCCGTGTCACAAGGAAACCATACCTGCACTGCAGCAGAATTACCTCCGAACACAATGCTGTCAGGAGCTATGCTATATTTTTTGCAAAAGTGAATTCTATTTATAAAGTTAGACAGAGTCATGTCGCAAACCCAGCTTTCTATAGATATCGAACGTGCACCGTCTCGATGATGTTTGACAGGTGTCACATTCTATGCATATCTGAAGATTAAAAAGCCTAAATAACCTTATTTTGTACACAAGACAAGTTTTGGTTTAGAAGTGAGTAGCATTTTGGTGATATTGTGCCCATTAATGTTTAGTGGAAGACATGTGTGTTGGAGTGGTTAGTGATGTTCCTCATATACACGCTTTTCCGTTCAACCCTCCCAGACTAATCAAATTTTCCATTGCTCCGAGTCAGGCACACTAGTCCCAAAGTTGTCTGGAAGGATAAAAACATTGTCGTGATACATCGAAAGGTCGTCCTATTAGTTCTTTTTTGACTTTAGCAAGTTCCAGTAAATTCGTGTCCATGTCGCGTGAAACAGCAGCCCAGTTCGTTCTACTTGCTCTACACCCTGAAACTTGACCACCGGGTTTCTGGTCTTCTTGCTGTGCACTTGACACGTTAAAGAACACATCCAGGAACGGTCGGTCCTTAAATGATATAGTTGAAACTCATCACGTTTTAGTGCTATGTAATCCTGAATATCCTTGTGTGGCGAGGCATCCGTCGGAAAAAGATGTGGTTAGTACCAGCCAATAGATAGCTCATTTCATAACACTTACTGTTTTATAATGTATTTGTCGTTCCAAATTATCAGCGTATTAATGTTATCGCTTATTCTTGCAAAATCTCGTTTCATTTGTCGATCGCACCTCATATTAATGTATTGCTTATATAAAGGCTTAATTACAAAAATTTGACGTTCACTCTAAGTCGACGTTGTGCTTACCGTGTGGAAGAATACATGAAGACTAGCACTATTATAAGGCTTAGATACTTGCAAAACTTGGACCCCAGGCCAGATTCGAGTCCACGATTACCCTTTCTGAGGCTCACATGTTACTCAGTGCACTACTGAGGCCCTAGCGTTCCATTTCTTCCATTCTTTCATTACTTATAATACTAAGTCGCAGATAAATGATGAGTGAGAAGTTGAACTAGGGAAAAGATTGTTAACGAGCAATAGTGGTTAGTTTCCTGTTTACTTGTGATTGTGTATGGACTGGCTTCTGCACAAATTTTCATAGGTAAAGCACAGTGCGTGTGACCCAGTGGTCGGAGGCGCCCTGCAACCCACATGTGGAATCGATCCCCGCGCCCACGGCCCACCAAGCCTTCCGCTTCTCCGGCGTCGGCAAATTGGTGCCAGACTTGTCTGGGGGTTAACAACACTGGCTCAATAGATCGGTAGGCCACCGCGAGTCATTGTAAAGGCCAGATATGCATTCAATCGCCTCCAAACGATGCTTAATGAAGTCGAGTGCATGGCGCATCTTTCATGGATTGATCAACGTCTAGAGCTTTATTCTTTTCATTTTTTTATTCTGTGTTTATTTCCGAGCTCCTGTGGGCAATGACAGAAACTCCAATACCTCGCTCCTCAAATTTTCTCAAGTGAAGTTTTTCTCCAGTGTCATATAGATAAATTGTTTAACAGCTGTGTTCTTCTCTCGGCCATCCTAAAACAGTACTTGGTCGTATGTCAAGGAGACACCGATGCAAGAAGTTCTGCTTACCTTAAAATATGCGTTTCAGGGCAAGTATGAGCTCATCTTTCCTCCGTGCTTAACTGCTTATGGGTCATTCAGAGACTAAGCAAGTGGCACTAGCCGACTGAAGAACCCAATGTTCTGCATGAATCCAATTTATCGGAGCAAAATAAATTGCAATCGACACATTTCTTCCTTTGAAGTGCAAGATTAATCCTTTTATCAAGGCAAACCTCTTGGCTTTAGAAGGCTATAGATATTCTGCAGAGTTTTTCAGTAGCGGATTGTTGGTCGAACGAAATCACGGGTCATCTTTCTTTAAAACAAATTCTATAAGATGAGAGCTGTGAGGGATTTTCACCTACTTCTACTAATTAAGCTGAAGATCGCTGGTTATTGCACAGAACTCCTTTCCTCATCGGCGTCTCAGTTCAACTGAAGAAGCAGGTCACTTCATTTGCTCAAAATAGGCCTCACAAAATTCATAGACCTTTACGGACTTCCGAATTGGCTTGCCTGAAACCGTCGCTCCACTTGCACATATTTCTACCACAAGCTCTCGAACGGCTTCGCTTTAACCTGCTCCAGCTAATCTTTTCAAATATTCGCAGCCGATGGAAGGACATTGTTGCTAACCCATATCATAGCTCATAATAAAATTCATTGTTTGAAATGTGAACTATAAAAACATACACACATCTTTACCAAAATGATAAAAACCTTTTCTACTATGAACGAATTCTAAACTTCTAGGACGTGAAGATCGTTTAATCCTATTTTTGTGGCGTTGAGGTTTCTGAAATAGAAGATTGGATAGACAACTGTGAGATTCAGAATGGGTTGAGAAGCGAGATTTCGTACAACAGAATTCGATGGTTCCCATGAATGAATCTACATTGTTTTTGGCTCCCATACTTCTAATATCTTTTTTTAACTTAAAACGCAAAACAACCACAATGATGATGAGATATTTGCAAAACACCGGGCCACAGATCTCTGCGGTGGGAAACGAACGCGCTATTATCTTTCCGGGGCTAACTCGTTAACCAATACACCAGGCAGGTCTTTCGTCTCTCCAGTCTCCATCGCAGACACCTGCGGTTCGGAGTTCTGTGAATATCTCAAAATCATTGCGGTTGTATTCCACATAATACCCTACAGTGAAAAATCCTAATACGCAGTAATTAAAAATAATTAAAACGCAGATTTTAAACAAATTTGTGAAGAAGAAAAAAGCGTTCAACGTTGATCACTTATCCCCTGGAGAAAATTCAACTTCATCAAGCATTGGAAAGGAGAGTGAATGCACATTCGACCACCTCCGCAACGACTTGCTTCCCCGAGTCAGTGCTACTATTCTCCAAAATAAGTGTGGTACTAATTTTTCGTTCCCGGAGGGACAGAAGGGTTGGTTAGTCCAGAAGGCGTGAACGAACCAATGATCAATGCTGTGAGCATTATAGGGCTCTTGAGCATTGGTACTGATGCTGCTCAAAATCCCACCCGGGTCGATCAAGCTTCCTGAACATCTGAGGTCTGCAAGCTGACACCTGATTATCAAAACGATAAGGGCAAGTATATTCTAGAGTCCTTTCAGGTTCTCAACCCTTCTACTACCCTTGGAAATTCTATTTTTATTATTATAGAAAATATTCTTCAATTTAGAGCCACTGAAATTCACTAGTTTATTGGCGCTGAACTAACTAACCAGTTCGTTTGCTCAGCCGATCGTCTACATAGTAAATGTCACTTCCACTCGAGTCTCTGAGTTTACTAAAACTCAGAGCATCGCACTCACGAATTTTGACCACTGGTTTCTGAAAAATTCAGATTAGTTCGAAACCCGCTTGAGGGATCACAACTCTATACCCGCAAGGTCTTCAATTCGCCAGCTTCAACTTTCATTGCCGATTCGATAAAGTTGTTGAGATTAAAGCTTGCCATCTCTTCTTCCGGAATATTGAACTGGTCTCCAAGATTCTTTATCAGCCTTTTCATTGTCATTCTCAAACATAGTGGAATTAACAGAATTCATTTGCGAACGAAAATGCTTAGGTGTTATTTAAGGCACTAACTTCTTCCCGCCAAACCACACCACAGCGGATGCTACGTTATCCATTTTTCGTCCGACATAGTGGAGTTTTCGCAGAATATCAGCCGCTAACTCGATTGTCATTGTCGTGAGAGCGAGACCAATTCCGATGTAACAAAGAGTTAAAAAAAGGTATTTGAAACTGAAAGTGGTCAAAAAGCATTAAAAATAACTTTTACAAACTGTCTCGCATCAGGAAATCGAAGATAACCTTCTTGGGACGAAATCACCGAGCCCTATAGTGGTCAGTGTTACGAAGTTGAAGTAGAGGGCATTGAAAAAATCCATCTCTGGTTCGTAAGCTGCCAAAACTTGGGCACCGAGCACTAGATAGCACGCAAACGTTAGGCCCAATACTACAGCCTCTCCTGTTTTCCTTAAAGAACAACATAATCCTTCTGTAACTTTCGCAAATGCTTCATTCTTTTTCAGTTCCACTTTGAGGAACAACACAGCGGTTCTGGTGCTTCGAAAGGCTATTTTTCATGTCCTTAGAAGTGAATTTTTAAATAAAATAATAATTGCTAGTAAATTTTCAGTATTAAATAGGCTAGTAGAACTTTCGGACAAAACTGAGCAGACGTACATGCAATGTAACAGTTCACCTTGTACGGGAAGCACCCATTTCCTTTGGTTCGTTTTCCTGTCCCATGTCTTTTCCACTGGAAAGCGTTCCCTCTTTCTCACCACTTGGTTCCAGTTGAAGCTGTGATAAGGAAGACAAAATATTGCACGGACGACACTATTTAAGTAAGACTTGTTCAAGGTTGAAATAGGTTTTACTTGAGTTTTGCTCCATGAGCACTTTCCACAAAGCAACAGCATGTCGTCGATGACAGCGGCGACTTTTCTTAGCGCAACAGATATGAACATGCCCAGATTAGCTATTGTAAGCAGTGTCAGAGGAACACCAATCAAACCAAAAATGATGCAAAATATTCGACCGTAGAATGTCTCAGGAGCGATATGACCGTACCCTGAAAGCTACAATGTGAGAACCATTAAGACGTAACGATGAAACTGTTGTGTATAAATTACCAATAGTGGTAATGACACTGAATGTAAATATTAGCGAGTTGCCGAATGACCATTTATCCTCCTCTTCTGCGACTTCATCATCCAGTGGTTGAGCTCAAAACTGCTCATTAGAGCGGATACTCAACTGATTCTCTTATTAAAAAAATCCATAAAGAGATTCTATTCAGTTCTAGGGAACTTTTCAAATGTAGTACGTTGGCTGAGCTAAACAACATCGCAAAGATGTGACGCGATTGGCTGAGCTAAACAGCATGGTAGAGACGTGACGCGAAGTTCCTTTTTATTTATAAGTGTTCGATGGAACCACATCGACTAACACAATGGATTTCCATGTACGGAAGAACGTCTTACCAAGGTGTTAAGTTGTTCTGATGGTGCAGTTTAAATAAACAACCATAGTTGCAAATATTGCTAGCTATTAAGGCAAATGTTCTACTTTCTCATAGTTAATTACCAACTAAAGGAAAAGTTTCACTGCGATATTTGATCACAAAAGCGTTCCGAAAGGTCAACAGACCGTTCACTAACTGCATTCTCAGATTATCAAAGTGTTCGTTGTCAAAGACCTCAGTGTCAATTATAACATGCTCATAGCACTCGTCGATTTCAGAAATACTAAGCTGGTCAAGTTCGTGTTCCAAGCACTTCGTTTTCGCCATTACGTCCTTGAGGACACGTTCCAAACATTCATAAATCTGAAAGGAAAAGGAAACATGCCTTCTATGCTTACAAACACAAACAAAGGATTTAAATGCTCTCACACGTGGACTTATTGTAGCGTCATCCAAATCTTCTACGTTGACTCGAGTTAGCAGTTGAGATTTTCCTTCACTATCTGTTGTTCTTCTAGCAATGCTGCTAAAGTTATCAGATTTATTACGCAAATATTTCAATGTATGGCAGCGTTCGTTTTGATTACAGAGTTATCTCAATAGCTGAAACAAAGAGCTGGTTTGAACTATGCGTCATTTATTACCACTTGGAACAGAAATGAGTTGACTTCCACTCACACAATGCGGAAATGACTGCCACTTTGATCGCTAAACCAGTTTCTCTTAAGTTAACGTAAATTTTGTTAATAACAGCAAAAGCAAGTAGAATCCGCAAATTTTTGCTTACGGCGACAGACTTCTCTTCGTTTACCAAAACAAAATACTGATATTCCGGAGTCGCTAAACTAAGTTGTGCAACTTTTTTCGTCGAGGTTCCCATTTCAAACACGAAGGCAACTAAACACGCGAAAATCCGTTCATAAGAACCCGAGGATGGCTAGGAATGCGTTGTTGATGTGTACGGCTGCTTGGATTTCGCTTCGGACTTCAAAATTCAAATACCGTTATTAGTTCCGTTGAAAATTCCAATTCTAAACAGCTTTAAAAATGGAAACAACCGTTAAAAAACCATACCAACTCCTAAACAGATAGGGTAAAGCCTCTCCCATAAGCTCGTCACGTTTTCAATTTCTCAAAAAATTTTTTGAAAAAATAGCACAGAAATTGCCCCAAGTGGTTAGGCTGTTTGATTTCTTGTATGGGGATTGAGGATGGGTGCAGATCACATATGGTTTGTGGAGTACGCGACGAAATGTTAGGCGAGTGTTCAAAAGAAATTTGGGAAAATGTGAAAGTGACATTATTACAGAAAATTGTTTATTTCTTAGAAAGAGATCCCATTTCAAAAAGTTAAAATGTAGGAGATAAAGCTTACAGCTCTAACGATAGCAATGAAATGCCCGATCACATCTGTGCAGATCTCAGTGAACGTTGATTTTGTGCATGCAACAGCAGTGCGTAACGATGCCATGGACATAGCATCTTTTGAAGTGGATGAGATCACCATTGGGCCCGGCTCAATACAAAATACGCTGCCGAGAAAGCTTTCCGACCTATGCGAAAGCTTAATAATGGATTGGATTTTTACTGTCATGTGACTCCTTGAAATGGAAAGGTTAGAGGACTCGACCACTTTGTTTCCACTGGACACCGTAACATTTTGAAGCAGAAACCATTGAAAGACATCGTTTTCAACAAAAAATAAGTAAATAAACACAGAGTTTCGAAGCGTCGACTTCAAGAGTACGGTGGGCTTTTGAGATTTTTCAAACTTTTCAACTTGGAAATTTCTATTGGTAGATTTAATTACTCAGTTTGAGAGTTTGTGCGACTGCCGCGCTCGAGGTTTAAATTTGAAAATTCGTCCGGAATTAGATGTTCCCGAAAATTATCGAGTGCAGAGATTAAATTGAAAGGTACCAGGTCTGGCGAAACACTTATGCTGAGCAAGTTAACGGCTGAACGGAAGAAGTTCTAGAAATGAACTCTTTACGGCAAAGGGAAGAGTTGAGAAGAATGTGCATTGAATCTAATACATATGATCCAGACGTGCATGGATATAAGCGCTTATGGTTACTAGTTTTTAGGACTTTATACCATAGGAGATTTTATTTTAAGAGTTTTTACATTTTACCATTAAGTAGTGCAGCGAAAAACGAGAGAAAAGACCTTTTCCCCGGAGATTCAAGATGTTGCATGATAATAGCACCCAACAGTGTGTAGGTAACGACGCCAAGAGCTAGACAAACATGCACAGCGGCAGTCGAGGCCTAAAGTTTGGAATATCAACAAATTCTGTACTGTATATGAAAAAGAATTCATTCAGTACCTCGGCTAGATGTGAACGTAATGTATCTAACAGCAACATAACTTGTGAGTAAGCGAGTAATTTCTGGGACGCCAAGCAGTCATTTAAACATGGCCGGAAGCAGAACTCTCTTCAAGCGGAAGTCTTTAACGTTCGCAATAGAAAGTCAGTCGTTAGTACACAAAAAACTGCAAAAACTCTCATCTGAAGCCATCTACACGGGTCGAATCAGAATTCGCTAACGGGCCAATTAATTTTCAAGTCTCTTTGTTTTACTACTATTACTCGTCCTAATCGTTTTAGTTGCTCTTGTATTAAATTGTTGTGTCGTAATATTATTAAGACCTTACGAAATTTTCTGAAAACCAAGTGCATGTCAAACGTTTTGTTTTAAGCATACTACACAGAAGGATGACAAAAGATGAATAAGAGTGCGTTTAAGCAATCCCTGTAGGATGCGTCGTGCATTCGACTTCATCAGACATAGCAGAGGTGATTCAATGCATATGTACCCTGCACAACATCTGCGGAATCCTACCGATGTACCAAGTCACTGTTTTTACCTTTCCAGACAAGATCAGTTGAGCGTTATCACGGGATCGAACCAGGGTTCGATTCAGACCAGCCTGACCACCGCGCTGAGCGCTCTCCAGAGGTGGAGTAGCACAACAAATACTCAAGCAAGCACTAAGAGATTTTCCAATGACGGCTTTCGCCATTACGCTTGATGACTGCGCATTTTTTATACTCGAAATTCACACTATAAATTCGTATTCTGGCCATAACCCAGCGCTTCGCGTTGCCTTTCATGTGAAGAATACTTAGTGGTATAAGAAGATCATTGAAAATCTTACCCTCATTTTGTCAAACGACAGTTTCTAGTGCTGATGTAACCGTGCGTAAACAGGTTAGCAGCCACATTTTTCCTAGGCACTTGCGCTGGTAGCGGCCATTTCAGGAACTTCACCTGACTATATAAGCTTAGCGGTAACGCGAAGTGATCATTACAGCATCAATGCGAAATTTATTCATAAGAAAGAATATACCAACCATGAAATAGACGATAGTGAGAATACGCTGAAGTCACTATAAGATGGCAAAATTCACACTGTTCATGGGTCTCATAGAATTGAACTAGTACTTGTCCAATTTAACAACTAAAGGAGAAAATCACAACAGATTTGACCAGTAGAACAACCGTTAGCTAAAGGACAAGGCAGTGTTTGCTCAGTTGTTCACATGACTATTATCACTGACATCTAAAGCATTGTGAGCCTGATGTGAGTGGGTCACTTGTCTGCCCACAGACTTTTCCTCTGAATAGCATGTGCTACACATTCCAAAAAAAAACTAGGTTGGTCCAAAAACTATAGCCATTTATTCGTATAAGCTTTACAAGCACAGACTTAACAAACATTTATTACTCAAATTTTTCCTGCGTACTACGATTTTAAAACTTGACTTGTTTAACTGTGTTTAACTTAAACTTGTTTAACTGTTTGCAGAAACTCTACAAACATTCAGTTTACAATGATTTTAAATCAATGCAGATGATGTTTCCAAGGGTAGAAGATCGTGCCTCTTTGCTTCATATGTTCGAACCTGGATTTACTTCTACTTCGAAAGAATTGATGCCCGAGAGATGAGTGTTCATTAAAAGAGGGTCGGAGGGGTCCAACAGCAGTTGATGACGATAGGCGATAATCAAAACCGTAACTAGATGGAACTCCTAAACACTTTCTATATGTTTTTCTTATCTCTTAATTTTCTTCCTGTGTGTACATGTTTTGTATGCCGAAACGTTAGCTGAATAAACACCTTGTCAACCTCATGTTAGCCTAAAAATCCATGAAGGTACTTCCTACACGACTATAATGCATTTCTTTTGTTCGCGGATGGTGAACTGATTTACTATATTTCCATGAATCCTAATGTAACACGTACAGTAGAAAAGTCTTGTCGCGAAACCGATAAAATCTTTCAAAAGGTATGGTAAATGTACATCTAGAATTCAAAAGAAAGCGCTCGATTCCGTTCCGCACGACAACACACGACCATCCCTACACAACTAATGCTACAGAGTTTGATAAAATTGCGCTACGAAACTCTGCTACACCTGCCGTCCTCGCTGTACCTCTCGCCATTCGCCTACCACTTCTTCAATGCATCTCTACAATCGCTGGATGGTAAAACCTTCATCATTTCGGTCGCTGCTGGAAATTCCTTTCAAGAACTCGTTTCCTCCATAATTGCAGGATTCGGAATAAGTAAATACGTTATGATGCCGAGGTATTGGCAAAACTTGGACTCTAATCCAGATCGAAGCCGCGATTACCCTTTCAGAAGGCTTACGAGTTACCCACTGCACCATTGAGGCCCTTAGCATCACATGTGAGCCTCAGAAAGGGTTATCGTAGGCTCGACCTGGCATGTAGTTGACCCTTTGCAAATATCTCAGCGTCATAATGATTGTATTTCACATAATATCAGCAGTGAAAATAACAATAAGTAGTAAGTGGAAAGTTAGAACAGTGAATTCGTTCTCCATGCGAAAATCTTCAGAATCTAATGATCCCGATTTTTATTTGCTTACTTTTTTTTGCACGACCCGTCTTCCATACCCTCTGTGCGAGTCAAAGTACTTCTTGCATTCAATTCGTTTTCATCGCCTTCATCGTCCACATTAGTCTTCGGAAAGTGTGTTATTTAGGCTGCTGTTTGAAGACTTCGTCTTCTTTATGGATGTCATAGAATGCTGGTCCAGTTTCTTCACTCTGGAGTCATGGGATAGTCCTGTTAGAGCCTCCCATTTTTGCTACAGGTAGTGAACTGTTCCCATTCACAGTGTTAAGAAATAGCTCGTTCGTTCTCCACCGCAGACACCTGCGGTCCGGAGTTTTGCAAATATCTCATTATCACTCTGGTTGTGTCACACATAATAGCCTGCCGTGGAAAATTGTAGTAGACAGTAAATAAAAAATTAATATTGTAATTTCGACTACAGCCTCAGCTTAATTGG